AATATTTTATCTTTAATTCATCAAAGGAGCATGACACTCTGTCTCCTGTGATCCTGATCTAACCACAGAGCTTTCACTGACTAGACAGTAGACGTTGTGGGTTGTAGAACAAGATAAGAAACAACATCCAAATGACATATGTGCTGAGCAACAGAAAACAAAAAATGCATTAATTTTAACCTCTCCATGTACTCTTTGAAAAACAGGTTTTACAAGAGAATATTTTAATAATTTGTTGTTCAAAATCTATTGAGTTTCCTCTCCTCCTCCATAATCCCTAGGAAGAGGAGTTTATTATTTAGTAGTTAGTAAGGTTGATATTTAATGAGAAAGCAGTTCTAAAAAGTGGATGGATTTTAAAGATCTCAGCATGAAGAAGTTGAAGTATTAAGGGCAACAGCTGCCTGTAAACGATTGCTGTTAGCTGAAATTTACATAGTAAAGAGCAGAAAACTTCTAAGATTACTTCATTCTTAAACTTTTAATGCTCAAACTATAAGACAATGCAACACTTCAAGTTGGTGACTTTTAAGTTTTATTTTTCAGGAATGCATTGAAGGCAAATGAATAAGCTTATGTGTCTACCAAAAACACCATAAGAAAATTTTTATGCAACACCATTCTTAGCTAATGTGCCAGTTTTTCTCAGAATACACAATCAGATGCTATTTTTATGAATTTCACTGTCTCTAACAGAGGTTGCTTAAAGGGCTCATGGAACAAAGTGTTGAGGTGTGGGTATGCTTTTAATAAACCAAGGGACATGATGACTTGTGGGCAAACTACCAACACAGCTTATGTGGTGTGTATTCATTGAGTGTTTGCTATGTTCAAAATGCTGTGGAGGAAACATTGAAGATATGCAACTTGGCTAGTGGCTTCGAAAAATCTTAGATCTAGACTATGCTTTGGAACAATTGAGTGGCACGTTTACATATCAACATAAATAAATTCAATTTCAACAAAGCAGACAGAGTCCTGAAATAACTTGAAAGGAGTCTTTGAGTGTGATTTTATTATGAGTTTAACCTACTTTAGAAATGAAATCTGGTAATGAAAACTGAAAACCTTTTCCAGCTCTCAGAATTTTATTTTAGGTCACTGTTAAGGTATAGATTTTTTTTATTAAATAAAAAATAACTAATTTTTAATTTGATTTTAGAAAATATTTAGAATAAAATTACTTATAATTCCAATAACCAGAGAGAATTGCTTTTTATTCTATCCTTTGTATATGTTTGTATATATACATGTTCATATATACATGTGTGCACTAACATATATAATTTATTAATTTGTAAAATTTGCACATACTTTTGTAACCTGATTTAAAAAAATATGGCGTTAAGTTTTGCCTAAAACTGCCTCCGTATATATTTTAAGTTCGGCCTAAAGATTTCCCTGTACGTTAACTTGATGTATAAATGGACTGTAATTTATTCTTGTACCAATCACAGAGTTTTGGCCAATCACGGGCAGCCAGCTGTTCAGTGTTCAAATAGAGCAAATACCGACTTGTCACGTATCCAGCTGTTTCTGTACGTCACTTTTGTTTTCTGTATGTCACTTTCTTTTTTCTGTCCAGAAATGTTATCCAACCATGTGGCAACTCCGGAGTCACTCAGGACCTACTCTGCCTCTAGAGACTGCCCAACTTTTAAATCGTTTTTTGCTCATTTAAACTCTGTTACATTTAATTTGTCTAAAGTTTTTATTTTAACAGAGGCAGTGTTCATAAATATTTTTGTATGTCACAAAATAAAATTTCTAATATAATTTAAAATGACTAAATTAAAACAAACTTATTGTGTAGTTGTTACATAATGTATATAACTAACTTACTGTTGGACTTCCGATTGTTTGCAGTGCTATGATGGACATTCTTGTGTTTGTGCTACATCCTTAGGGCAGATTTTTTTTTTTTTTGAGACAAGCTGGAGTGCAATGGTGTGGTCTCGGCTCACTGCAACCTCTGCCTCCCAGGTTCAGGTGATTCTCCTGCCTCACCCTCCGAGTAGCTGGGATTATAGGCACCTGCCACCACGCCCGGCTAATTATTTTGTCTTTTAGTAGAGATGGGATTTCACCATGTTGATCAGGCTGGTCTCGAACTCCTGACCTCAGGTGATCCATCTGCCTCGGCCTCCCAAAGTGCTGGGATTACAGGCATGAGCTACCGAGCCTGACCAGGGAAGATTCTATATATATAGTCTTCTTGGATCAAAGGATATGTCCTTTAAGGTTTTTCACATGTATTGCTAATACCATAAAGCTTGTGTATTTGTATCCCACAGTTTCCTGACCCACAAAACAAGGAATGTATGTCCATTTCCATGAAATCTTGACAACATAGGGAATTGTCATTAAAAAGTACCCAAAGTCGTTTATAGAGTATTTGATGAAAAATGATTATTTTATTGTTGGAGTTTTCATTTCTTTGATTAGTAAGGAGGTTGAGATTTATTATATGTTTTTGGTTATATGTATTTCTTCTTTCATATATTCTTTGTATAATTTGCTGATTTTTCTTTATATTTATTTTTCCTGCTGATGTATAAGAGCTCTTATTATATTAATAACACTAACCCTTTGTTACACAAGCACTCATTAGACAAACAAGGGATGATGAAATCATATTTCTGTTATTTTTACTTAATGTTATTTCAAATGTGCATTTCTGTGAACTGATACAAATCACAAACTTGTCCTTTAGAAAGCTGTTTAATATTACATCTCACATGTATATTTTCCAATTTAAACAATGTATAGACACTTTCCAAAATGTTCATGGACATCCTCAGTGTTGAAGTAGTATTTTTATTAAGAATGTAATGAAGAAATATGCTAATATCAAACTAGGTTTGCACTCCTTTGTTGTAGGATCTAGGCAACTGTAAAACCATGATAAATTAACAAGAAAAATACAAAAAATCTGTGACACTAATACCATTCATATTAATAATCAATGATGCTGCTTTGCTAAATGAAGCAATTTCTTACAACATTAACATGGTGCTATTAGTGTGCATTTTGAGTTCTGCATTATTATTCTACCTTGTAGGGTGTGAGTATTCAGTTATTCTGTGACTTTTCTGTTTGAACTATTGTGAATCTTTCATGAATACAGGGTATGAATTTGGTCCTCACTTGGGAATAATTTACCCAGTGATACTAAATTAAAAGATGGTCATAGATTATTGAAAATATGTTTATATTAATTCCTTTAGATTTTTATCTAAGTATAAACCAAAAATTTAAAATTTTTTATAGAACACGCTTAAACAGTGGTTTGAGAAACCTCTAATCCAGATCAAAGTTATCTTTGCTCTTCACCTATACTTAGGTATTTGGGTTGATAAATTTGCAGGAAATAATAGAGAAATGTAAGAGGGGGAAGTGGATCATGAAAGGTTTTATCTTGACAAAAATGATTATTGGAAATCTTTGATTTAGACAAAGTCAACTCATTTCTTAATCCTATAACAATTTGAGCATACTTTTACTTCTATACTTTCCATATCACATTATGATGTATTCCGTGTGTTCAAGATAGATCATGAACTCCTGTAGAAGCTAACTTTATATCACTGTATCTCCAGCATCTGAGTCCACCTACCTCGTTTTAAGTGCTTAAAAATGTTTATTTTGTTGAACCACTATATACTTATTGTAATTGTTAACTTATATGTTTTCTGTCCAGAAATGTAATCTGACCATGTGGTAACTCCGCAGTCACTCAGAACCTATTCTGGCCATTGTAACTCTATTTATTTTTGCTTTGTACATTTTGAGGCTATTAGATGAATTACCTATAAATTTGGAATTCTTAAATGTTATTAGTAAATAAAAACTTTACTACTGTGTAATTATTCCATCTCTAATGATACTTTTTGTCCTAAAGTCTATCACTAACCTCAGCTTTAGCCTGAGGCACAAAGCTGATTTTTTTTTTAAAATATAGAATCCATCTCTTTTTGTTTTTTACATGGCAGATCTAAACTACTTATACCATTGTGACCAACGAAATATATGAACTCGTGGCTTTTATCCAAATTTTGCTCTGTTTTACTTTTAAATATTTTAGTTGTTTTTCTCATTTTTTATTGAATACATTTTTAATTTGTTAATTTATTTTCTTCTTATTTTTTCCCTGAATCAGTGTGAAAACTTGAAATTTTACCGTACATGCTTAACAAAATCTAAATATCTTAACCTTTCCTTCAAATGATACAAAAGCTTTAGAACAATTTAATTCTAATCACCTACCTTCCAAATATTATGTCATTGATGTCCTGTCCTGTATTTTAGTTTGGTTCTTTAATTATTATAGGAATTAAAGTAAATTAAATGAATTACTATAATAATATTATAGCAATTTTTATAGTAATCCTAAGAACCTCCTGAAACTGGTGGTAGTATTGCCTCATTTTAAAGATGAAGAGACTGAGGTGCAGGGAGGCTACATGTTCTTGTCCCAGATCACATGGTCATTAAGTAGCAGAGCTAAGGCTTGAGCCCAGACTTAGTGCCTCCAAAGGCTGTGCTCCTTCTATCATTCCAAGGAATGAACATTAGCCATTATGGGCTCCTCAGCCTCCATCCATGGGTTTCACATTTCTTTTTAGATTGACTAATACAGAAAAAAAATTTTCATCCATTAGTATTTTATAATAAATGTCTTTTTAATTTGAATATAAGAAGTTTTTCCTTTTGTGTTTAGGAAAGTGCTTTGAATCAGTGGATTTATAATATTTTTGACATCTAATAATAGATGGAAAAAAATGGGTGTTGGCATCATTTCTACCACAGCAACAAGAGCAAAGATGGTATATTTTGAAGATTGCATGCTACTTCAGTCTATTCAAAATTTCTGGGGAAATATTTTGATATACTTAAATATTTTTCATTTAAACATTTCATTACACTTTCAATATTTCGTATTAAAAGTAACTCAAATTATATTTAATTGTTTGTTGATAAAGCTGTTGAAGAAACTGAAATTATACTAAATAGTTTTAATTTTTTTGGCTTTGTGTTTTTCTTTTGATTTAAAGAGAGTTGTTACAGAAGAAACCTGACAATAATAGCTGATATTGAGGCATATAGTAACCTCTTGGTTTTCTTTTCTGAAGATCTTTGAGGTAGTTTCTGGTACAGGAAGTTAACAGTAAACTCTGTACCAGGAAGCACTAGTGCACACTTGCTTTAAGTTATTTTAAAGACAGTGCTTGTTGTTTACTTGAGTTTTTGAAAATACAATATATAGAATGAAGAATCCTTGAGGGATGCTATATGAAGATATCCACTGATATTTTATAAAAGTTTTGAAAGTTCGGGGTTTGATTCTATTTCTTCTCGAGTCTAGAGTTTAAAAGTAATTTAAGAATGAAACAGAAGTCTCTACAGGGACCTTTTAGTTTGTAGGCTTACCGATAACATTTTGAAAAACTCTATTTCTATTAAGCACTGCAGTTTTTCATTAGATTTCAATAGCCCTTTTTCTCTTTCTCTCTGACACGTTGCAAGTAACAGATCTGTACAATTGGAATGTAACACTTTACTGTGGCTTAGCATTAATTGTCTTTCTTAGCACAGGCAAATAGAATTTAAAACAATGCTTTGAAGAATATTAACATGAAGTGCAGCCTTTTCAATTTTCAGCCATGCAGAGAAGTGATTTCGAAGTGACATTAACTTTCAAATAAAATTCTTTTGAGGAACCTTATAATGCTCACCCCTCCCCCCCTTTTTTTGGTCTTTGGAAGACTTCCTAGCTATAATTTTTGACAATCTTTAGGTGCATTCATGTTTTTAGATTGCTTCACATAAGTCAAAATAACTTGGCACTATAGAGCCTTAAAGTTTAATACTAATGGTTTTAAATAATGCTCTTTTTGAAAACCATGTTGGACTTCTCTATTAACTTTTATCATTATTTGCCTTGGAGAAGTATCTTAAAGAGACTTTCATAAAGCCACAGCTTCTCTAATCTATTTAAATCTCTTGCATCTGTGAATTTCATATTTGATTGTACTTTTAACTCAATTCCAAGTTATATCTAAAAACTTTTTCGTCTTGAAAGAAGTTTGTTGTTTGTAATTAATTTTTGAAAGTAATTTTGAGTAAATTTGAAGTAATTTTAGTAAAATGAATAAAAGTAAATATGAGTAATTTTAAATGAGCCATATAGAGTATTGGGAAAACTATTATATGCATATTTTCCCCTGCTTTTGCATGTAGGACTCCAGAAAGTCGAAACATCAAGGAATATTTGCCATTTCTTTAGGAATCTCATGATTTTCCCTTTTTGGAACTTCTGTCAACATGTAAGTGGATGGTGCATTTATTTAAGATCACTGGTAGATCTTAGTAATATTTCATCTGCACTACTCAAAATAATAACAGTTTTTTTATTTCATATGATTCTATGAGGCTTCTGGATGGTTCTTCTGCTGCATGTTGTGTCGGCTGGGGTTCCTCAGGTAGGTTTGTTCACTTGGCAGATGGTCTAGCATGCAAGATCATCTGCACCTGTCTTAGGTCTGGGACTGCAGTGTTGACTGTTGGTTGGGGTGACTCAGTTATCCTCCATGTGGCCTTTATCTTCTGGTAGTATTTTTTGAGAGCAAAGCTGCAAACTAGTACAGCATCATTTTTTTTTTTTTACCATATTCTATTGGTCAAAGTTAGTTACCCAGTTTCAAGGTGGTGGAAATTGACCCTACCTCTTGATGAGAGAAACAGCAAGTGCAATTCTAGCATATTCTAGAGACATATCCTTCATGAGATCTATGATTTGTAATTCTGGGGGTGGGGGCAATGGTTTCTTAGATATGATAGCAGAAGCACAAGCAATGAAAAAAGGTATATTGGATTTCATCAAATTTAAAAACTTTTGTGCACTAAAGGATTCTATCAAGAAACTGAAAAGGCAAACTACCAAATGGAAGAAAATATTTGCAAATCATGTATATGATAAAAGACTTTCAATCTAATATATAGACCTTTTTTTACAACTTAGCAAAAAGACAAACAACCCAATTAAGAAATGGTCAATGGACTTGGTAGAGATTTTTCCAAAAGAGTTATACAAATGGCACATGAGCATGTGAAAAGATGCTGAACATGATAAGTCATTAGGAAAATGCACATCAAAAGCATAAGATACCACTTCATACCACACATAAGTTTTGCAAGGATGTGGAGAAATTGGAACCCTCATACATTGCTAGTGTGAATGTAAGTGTGAATGTAAAACCATGTGGCTGCTTGGAAAACAGTTTGTCAGATGTTTAAAACGTTAAACATAGATTTACCATATGACTTCTAGGTATATATAACTGAAAGAATTGAAAACAGATGTAAAAAACTTGTACACAGATGTTCATAGAAGTACTATTCATAACAGCCAAAAGATGGAAACAGTCCAAATGTCCATCAACTGATAAACAGATAAATAAAATGGGCATCTTCTATAAGACAGAATATTATTTATCCATGAAAAGGAATGAAGTACTGATACCTGCTACAACATGGCTGAGCCTTGAAGACATTACACCAAGTGAAAGAAGCCAGATACAAAAGGCCACATATTGCGTGGTTCCATTTACATGAGATATCCAGAATAGGCAAAATAGAGACAGAAAGCAGGTTAGTTAATTACCAGGGAGTGGCTAGGCACAGTGGCTCACACCTGTAATCCCAGAACTTTGAGAGGCCAAAGCAGGTGGATCGCTTGAGCCCAGGAGTTCAAGACCAGCCCGGGCAACGTGGCGAAACCCCATCCCTATTAAAATACAAAAATTAGCTGGGCGTGTTGGTGCATTCCTGTAGTCCCAGCTGCTTGGGAGGTTGAGGCAGGAGAATTGCTTGAGCCCTGGAGATTGAGGCTGCAGTGAGCCAAGATTGTGCCACTGCACTCCAGCCTGGGTGACAGAGCAAGACCTTGTTTTTGTTAATGTGAAAAAAAAAAAAGAAAGAAAGAAAGAAAGAAAGAAAAATACCAGGGACTGAGGGAGAGGAGAAAATGAGGAATAATGGGTATGAGATTTCTTTTTGCAGTGATAAAAATGTTCTGGAACTAGAGATAATAGTAATGATTGTCTGACATTGTGGTATTATTAAATGCCAGTCAGTTGTACACTTTGGAATCGTTGAAATGGTGACTTTTATGTTCATGTTTTACCACAATAAAATAAAGCTATTGGGAAACTGGACTTGCTTGGTCTTGTGCCTCAACCATGAGAACATACTCAGGCTAGTCAGTGGGATGTTAAAAAAAGTGGAGCTAAATTGAGTCTCCTCATCTGCACCAGCTAAAGCTATTCTAAGTTGCCAGACGGTCATCCAACACCAAAATATATGAAAGTGTTGGGCCAAGATCAGCAGAACCACCTGATCTACTCCTAGGTGACTCTAAATGTGTTAGCAATAGATGCTTATCATTTCATGCTGCTGAAATGGTATAATTTGTTTTACTGCATTATTGTGACAATATGACTGATATATCTAATACCATTACTTATTAAAAGAAATCAGGGCTTCTCAGAGAATAGATGATTTGAAGACTCGGGTAAAGAAGGTGAAAGGTAGATGTTCAACATCTCATATACAGGGAATCTTTCAGGGAATAATGAGGTTGACTTAAAAGGACACAAAGTTCTGGAGTTGGATAGTAGTCATGGATGCACATCGGCATGAATGTACTTAATGCCACCTAATTGTACACTTAAAAATGGTTAAAATGGCATTGTTTTTGTTGTTTGTTTTGAGACAGAGTCTTGCTCTCTCGCCCAGGCTGGAGTGCAGTGGCGCGATCTTGGCTCACTGCAACCTCCGCCTCCCAGGTTCAAGCGATTCTCCTGCCTCAGCCTCTGGAGTAGCAGGGATTACAGGTGTGTGTTACCATGCCCAGCTAATTTTTATATTTTTAGTAGAGATGGGGTTTCACCATGTTGGCCAGGTTGGTCTCCAACTCCTGACTTCAAATCATCCGACCACTTCAGCCTCCCAAAGTGCTGGGATTTACAGGCGTGAGCCACCCCACCTGACCAAAATGGCAAATTTTATGTTATGTTATTTTACCACAGTTTTAACGAAGGACACAGGAACCAGGTGAAAGGGATTCCTGCTGGTCAGCTATTTCAATATGAGCATTAAATTTGAGCCTCAAAAAATAATGATCGTACTATATTAAAACATATCAAATATGTGAAAATCTTGAGTCCATAATTACATTAGAAATAAAAAAAAAAAGCAAGCTAAAGTGATTGGTGGTTACCAGAGGCTGGGAAGGATAAGGAGGAGGAGTGGGGATAAAGAGAGATTGATTAATGAGTACAAACATACAGTTAGATGGAAGAAATAAGACCTAGTATTAGATAGATTAGTGGGATAACTGTAGTTAACAATAATCTATTATACATTTCAAAATAGCTAGAAGAGAATAATTTGAATGTTCTTCACACAAAGATAAATATTTATGGTGTTGGATATCCCAGTTACCCTGATTTGATCTTTACACATGCGAATGTATCAAAATATCACATGTACCCTGAAATTATGTACATCTGTTATACATCAATAAAAAAACCAAAGTGAGAAAAACATTCATTCATCACCAGTCGAGGTGACTATTATGCCAACATAAAGATTCAACATTAAGGGATCACAACAATGCAGGATCCTGCATTAGATCTTTATTTAGTTAAGACAGATGTAAATGCCATTTTCTGGGACAAATGGAGAATTTTTGGGGAAAACACATAACCTCATGGTAGAGATTGTTAATTGTCTTCAAATAGTCATTTTTTTTTCTTTTCTTCATTTAGATATAGAACTCCTTGAGTTTTAGCAGCAATCAGACCTTGCAACTAGAGACTACATTTTCCAGTCGTCTTGTGGCTTGGGTTGGCCATGTCGTTACTTTAAGTTTTGTAAAAATATATTTTACATATAGTATTTCTTGTTATTCTTTGATTAATTTGGAAAGTAGAAAGCTAAACCTTAGTTATATAAATGGTGTTGTACAGAATAATATGTTCCAAGTGTGTAGCTTTCTGATGAAGTGGCTTAATACAGGGTAATACCAACTAAGGTAACCACAGGGAGGAAGTTATGATATCTTTTAGATCAGTGTTTCAAACTGAGTTCTGTAGATGTCAGGACAGAAGAGGGTCTCTACAAATGTTTAATTTGAATTTGCTTTAAATTTGTTTTAATTCATTTGATCATTCATTTTTTTCAAATTTTAGATTTAGGGGTACATGTGCAGGTTTGTTACAAGAGTATATTGTGTGATGCTGAAGTTTGGAGTACAATTGAACCCATCACCCAGCTAGTGAGCATGGTATTGAATAGGTAATTTTTTAGACTTTGTCCGCCCGCACTCTTCCCCCTCTTGTAGTCCCCACTGTCTGTTGTTCCCATCTTTATATCCATGTGTGCCCAATGTTTAGCTCCCACTTATAAGAGAACAAGCAGTATTTGACTTTCTGTTTCTACATTAGTTTGCTTAGGATAATGGCCACCAGCTACATCCACGTGGCTGCAAAGGACCAGGTTTCATTCTTTTTTGGACTGCATAGTATTCCATAGTGTGTATGTACCACACAGTTTAAATATTTTTAAAACAATATTTTAAACCACTTTTTAAAAGCAACTGTTATAAAATATTTTACTGATAGTGATAAGAATTCTGAGGTTGCAGTATGACAACTGCTATTATTTAAGATTAATTTCTTGTGTGATTTAGGGTTATCTTAATATTTGCCACTACAACAAAATACAAAGACTGATTGGATGGTAAGGCTGGTGTAGCTACAGCTGACAACTATAACCACTAATTTAAAGAGTTGGGGAGTCCATCTGAACAATGTTATTTTCTTTGAATATGAACTAAACTTATATTAATAAAACACTATTTTATGTGTTAGAGTTGAGTGCAGAATTTTATTTGACAAGAGGGTTTATTATTAAATGAAATTTGAAATCTACTTAGATTTTCCCTGTAGAATAGCGATTGTCACCACTGGGTTTTGGACAGGAATCACCAGGCAGATAATATCCCATTTAGGTGGATAGCCAGTGTCTGATAAAAGGGCACTTTGCTGTTGATGGAAAGAAGATCGATATACTCTATACATGGAGCATGGACAGTGAAGTTGCTGGTCAGAGCCTAATTTATATTCAAGGGTTAATTAAGGGCTACCCCACGTTGCTGCATTTGGGCACAGGAGTAAGGACAAAACTTTCCTTATATTAACTCTGGATCCCTTCAGGTGCTAAACAGAGTCTGCTTGAAGACTGAGAGTTTTGTGTCTTAAAGATAGAAGAATATCCTTCCTTGAATATTTTTGAGGCCACAAATGGTTAAACACCTACATTTATCACTATAACCTTAACATTAATCAATAAATACCAGTTTCTTTGGATGAGATTGTGTCTTGATCGTTCCTCTAAAAGTAGGTCTCTGTAGAGCAGC